GACGGCTCGATCAGAATTTGTGGTGATTATAAATCAACACTCAATAAAGCTCTTAACAGTTGTGCCATAAGCTTGCATATTTAACACCCCTTACCCCCCCCGACCGAAGTACTAAAGGAGGTGAATTCTCAGTCATCGGCGAAGCTTTTCCTGCCGGGATAGTTGAAACGGGTGACTCTGATTCAGCAGAAAGATCGTCGTTTGCGTTCTCCTCTTTGAGAGTTGTAGCAGCAGTCTTGGTTGAACCGTGCCGGCATTCGCCAGCCGCTGTACATTTAAATATTCTTACAGCGCATTTGTAATTAGGTAATAAGTTAATGTAAATATTGAATAAAGAGAATTGAGTGCAAATTTAATAGTACAGCAACATTTAATTTTATTTCTTGTAATCATTATGGTCTCTGCTTTCTATTTTTTATTTTATCAATTCTGAGTAATTCCTAACTGTTGATGAAAATTATGACGCTCTCATAGGGATATTTTCGCTGCGCACAAATATGTGCCATGAGCCTGCGCTACATATGTACTTTTTATAATACATATTTACCGTCGTTTATGCAAATTTTTAATAGCTAGTACATGACGTTTTGCATTTATTACGCACATTTTATTGAACTAAATTAGAATGCGAATATCAACATCTGTCAGGCAATCAACTCAAGTGGCCGGTCGGTCCCACAAACTTGCAAACTTGTGCAAGCAAAGGAGTGCGCGCGCAGGCAGTACTCTCCCTCCTCCGTGGGCTGTGTTTCTCCTAAGTATATTCGTTTATTTTTAAACTAACAATTATTATTCGAATAACAGTAAGTATTTAGTAGAATAAAAATAAACGGCATAATCTCGTAGGTAGCAAGCAACACGCGCAGCGATCAACTGTCAATTTAAATTAAGTGCTGATTTCCTGTCACCCTACGTACGTTTCGCATGTGTGTTTAGGTGTGCACGACATTGTTGCGAGCCTTTCGAGTGGGCTAGTAGTAGCTACTATGCACGTGTAGCCAAAAAGGAAGTCCATCCACAAGAAGCACATACACAAATGTACATACATACAGTGCCGAACAGAAGTATTGGCACAGTGAATTTTTCGCAATATATGCAAAGTTTTTTATGCTAATATATTTTCGATAATTTTTTATAAAAATATTGTTCACTCTACATCAAAAAACATAATAATAAGATCTCTAAACTTTGTGCAAAACTCAGGAAAATTCATTAAATTTGCACACTAATTTGCTACTTTTTATACAGATTTTTTTAGAAAAATTCTAAGTATGCAGTTGTATAGCCTATTCAAATTTAATATAACAAAGTGCAAGTTTGAAGTCGCTAGAAAATCGCGTTGATTTTTGGTAATTTTTTTTTTAGGCAAGTTCTTCCATACAAGGTATATTCGACAATTATTTTTTGTATGGAGAAAATGAGCAACACCTTCCACTTAAAAAAAAAAAATACCAAAAATCAACGCGATTTCTAGTTCTAGCAGCTTTAAACTTGCATTTTGTCATACTAGAATTGAACGGACTATAAAACTACAAATGCAAATTTTTTAGGCTTAAACCGTTTTGTCATCTGAGGGGACTTTTTCAAAACAAATCTGTAAGAAGCTATTTTTATTCATAAAAAAAACTCCATTTTACTCTTAATATTTTTCCGAAATATTTTGGTGGATGTCTTAAAATATAATAAATTTTGTAATGCCGGCGGAAAAGCCGCAACTTTTTTCGGTGATGCAGTCTAATGTACATAAATAGCATTTCACATTTAATTTCAATTTAGTTTTTGCTTTTTAAATAGTTTTTGCGTCACACACTCACCTAAACGCAGTTCTCCGAAATTACCACAGCCAATTTTTTTACCAACACGAAAATTTGGTCCGACCATAAGTACCCCCGTTGAGGCGCCTACAGCTTGGCGGGTGGCATACATGTTGCCGGAACTGGTTGTGTTTCGAGTTCCACCGCCTCCACCACCTCCGCCGCCGCCACCACCACCGGCACCTGATGTTCCAGCAGCCTGTGTTCCACCACCACTGCAAGAAAGGAAGAAGAAGAAAACAAAAATTAGTTTACAAATTTGCTTATAATTGCAGCAGCAAGTTATTGCACAAAATTAAACTAAAAATATTTCGCAAGCAAAAAATTTATACGTATTTTCATTGACGACACAGCAACAAGGCAAGTTTGGCCTCTGCAGTTTATAAGTCATTGGGGTGAGCGCAGAGCGGTTGTATGTACTTTGAAATGGAATGGAATGCACGCAATCTGCTTGAAAGCGCAATTCTTTTACTTGCTTTTGTTGTGTTACTTGCAATATGTTTTCAAATAAAAATTTATACATATGCATATATCTAAATGTGTTGAAACGTACAAGTATCTTTTCAATTCTTTTATAAATTTCGGCGCCATACTTTATGGACGATTAACTAACAACAACACACACAATTACAACACAATTATCTTATTGTACTTGAAATTTAGTTGACTTTTGTTTTATTTGAACTTTTAAAATTTTTATACACATAACTTTTTATTTTGGTTTTTTAGTTTATTTTGGTTTTCACTTTGTTCAAGTTTTCGTTTGTTTTTTTTTTTTTTTTAGTAATAAAGCATGGTAATTATATGAAATATGTTTACCATATATTAGCCTTACAATACGTACTTTTGCTTTCCCCAAACTTCCATTGACGGTTCATGGAGTTAAAAAAGAATTTCAAATGGCCAAAAAATATATTTTTGTTTTTTGTTTTTTTTTTCACCGAACAGATATTTTTGATTTATTTATGAGCCAAATTGGAAAGAGTACATCAAAATTGAACGCTGTTTTTTTTTTTTTTTTTTTTTTTTTTTTTTAATTTTAAAAAATAAATAAAGGTTTTAAATTTTTTTTTTTTTTTTTTTTTTTTTTTTTTTGAAAGTTGAAGTACAACTACTGGCGATAGAGTTAATAGCCAATTTATGGATTGTAAAGTAATTTTGTAGCGTCTGATGTAAATGGTTTCACAAAGAAATGTAAATACAAGTCGCGTTATGCCCGATTCACATTATTCCACGCCAGCCAAGTGATTCAATTCAGCCTGGACTGAATCGATGACTGTCCGCATTACTCAGAAATTGTTGCAAGGAAAACTACCCATAGTAAAAATAAAAAAAAAAACGAAAAACTAAATTTTCATAAAAGGGCTCAAACGCCGAAGCGTGTGAAATCGGACTCAGTGTCACGAGAACTTCTGGGCCAAAACTGTATTAGTGAAGGAAATGAAATGCAGGTTCGAGAGTGTTTTTATATGTCCAAGGACTAAAACCAGAAGATCCTCCCGTATATATGTAAGTACATTCATACACATAGCCTGCGTGTAATGGGATTAGACTACATTTAGAGTAGGCAACAGTTCAGTAAGTTACCGTTATCGTGAACGATCTTTTGTAACAGACCTCTATTTGGTAACATATTATCTTAGGTCCATGTATCATTAAGGAACCTTACAAGGTCACTTAGGTGAATACCATTTAGGTCGTCTGCTTCTAACAAGCGAAGTTTGGCCCTAGCAGAGGCTTTGCAGTAGTACACACTAAGTGAAGGAATGAAGGCCTTAGCCTATTTGTTACTTTCTGTACTTTTCCAGTAATGCTGCGGTTTCTTCTACATCCGAATATAATAATTCCGCCTTACAGAGCTTAATGACAGACCCTTAAAGGGTCCTGGGACCATGGCTAGCTGTTCAGCTCCTTTCCTGGTGAGTATGTCTTCCATTTCGTTGCTCATTACACAGTGTTTTTTTAGTGGTCCCACTTTCTATAGACCTCTGTTCCGACACCATGGACAGTATTGGAGACGTCTGTATGCCACGATCGGCTATCCTTCCGGCGGCTCATTGGAATTTATAAATTTAAGAAGCGTAGGACTGTGTCTATCTATTATCCATAATAAACACCTCCGATCATCACATCATCCTGGAGATCGAGCGAAAAATAACTCTTGCTAGCAGATGCTACTTTGAGCCCGGTGGCAGTTGAAGTGCAAAGCTCTCTCTCGCTCTCACGACGAACGAAAATGATGATCTACAAATCTCACATAATGCCCGTTCTTTTATATGGCGCAGTAATATGCGACGATGACAAATAAAGTTCAGAAAGCTTTCGAAGCTTTCGAGATAACTATTCTACGCAAAATCTATGATTTATTGCAACGGGCACAGAGTAAGAGCTCTCTTCGATCGTCACTGGTTTAAACTAGTGACGACCAGAGAGAGCTTTTAAAATTTACTAAAAACTTTTTTCATAGTAAATTCAAATACAAAACTGGCTATAAGAGCACTCCAGTCGCTGTGTACTGATGAGTTTTTGAAATGAACTCCGCCGCCTAGATTATTTGCGAAAATCGTTCGAAAAAAATATTTATAAATAGCTTTTTTCTCAAAACAAAATAGGAAAATAACTCCGTCAAATATGTGTATTGATGACAAATAACAATAGTGAGCATTATCTCAGATTAATTAAGCATAAACATTCGTCAAATTAGCGGAATTATGGCGACTGAAGCCGAAGCCTTAAAATGTTTAGTAAGAGTGTTGTTACTTTGTAAGCGAAAGATACATTTGTTAAATCAGCCAACGAAGCAACAAATCTAAGAATGACAGATAAATCAATAGCATTATGGATGGCAGTAAGGAAAACGTGCATACACACTCGTATCTTATGCAAAAAAAACAAAAGTACATAAATGACAATGAACCAGAATCTCCTGACGAACTCGGTCAAATATATGAAGAGGGAATTATTAATGAGGTAGCTTCGCAACAAAACGAACTAAAACTAAATTATGGAAATTGTAAAATAAGTATCTTTTGTGTGTGTGTGTTTGGAAAACAAAAAAGAAAGAGTAAAGCAAAAATGAGGCGGTATAAAAAGGGAAACGAGTGTGGGTACTTAAGAAGGGCAGTCGAAAAAAAACGAAATTGTAAGGCAGAAGGGAATAATGATGGGAGCGAAAAACGATATCCTTGAGACCACCGATGATGATATGAAAAGAGTGTAATGCTTGAAAAGGACACCGTAATAAAATAAAAATTTATTGCTTATAAAGAAAAAATGAGCGGAACGCAAAAAATATGCCGATAAAAGACAATAAAGGGAAAGAAATCGAAAAATGCATAGGAACGCCAAACGTAGCCAAAAAATTATTGCAATCATAAATTCCAATAGTTTGTCGGGCTTGCAATAAAAATTTTGCCGCTGTAGAAACGTGACACTAAAAGAATACCGAGAGGAAGAGCGATGTAAAGAAAATGTATAAAATATTTAACTGCAATAAAAAAGCAAAGTCGTTAACATGCGGAATAGGAGTGTAGTACAATCGAAAAGACAACGGAGGATTGAAAAATTGCAACGGTGGGGGCAATGGTCAAAATAGAAAAGTAACTGCAAAAGGAAAAGCTAAAATTTACGAATATTTTATTCAACTATTATATGTAAGAAGTACATGACAAAATGAAGTAAAAAGTAAAATAAAAACTACATAAAATTAAAAGTAAAATTCGAAAGTAATGGCAGCCACATGGTGTAACTTATAGCATAGACAGACGGCAGCGCTGATCCGGTTAAACGAGTTATTTCGAAATCAGCTCGGGAATTAACCGGAGTTGATCCGGATTGAGTCCTGGAGTTAATTAATTTAATTAATTAATGTAAATCGGGGACATTTTCGATGACAACACTAATGAAAACTGCCAGCTGAACGTCTATTGTGAATGATAAATAAACGAAACAACCAAGTAAGCAAACAGAGTAAATGAGTTCGGCAGGTAATTATTATATTTTTTTTTGCGTTCTTTTTTGTTTATAATATTTCAAGTTAATTTAATTGTTTAGAGCTTAGTTTTTATTCAAAATGTCCACAACTATGATTACACTAATAGAGCAATTCTGGCTAAGATTGTTAAAAGTAATTTAATTTTATTGTTCTTTTTTTAAGTCATTTTTTTTCTTTTAATTTTTTGATTTGATTGCCTTAAAAAGAAAAATGTATATTTTTTAATTTTATTAAATTTTTAGAGGGATATTTTATGTATAAAATTTGTTATTTTATGTGTAATTTTTTTATTATATGTATTTTTCTTTCTTTTTAATTTAGATTTTGTTTAATTTAATTTTCTTTTAATTTCTAGATTAAATATTTTTTTTTAGAAAAATATTTTTTTATTAAATGTAATTTTTAGAAAACTTATTGCTAAAAGACAAACGAAACAACGCTAGCAGATTTTTCAATTAGTCCTTCGTAAGACAGAAAAGAGCTTTCACGGTAGTTGCCACAATTGGAAATTGTCTTGCGATAAGTAGACTTTTTTGTTTGGGAAGTCGTGTGGCTGTGACAGTTGTCCGAATTGTCCTATAGAGAAAATAAAAGTAATAATTAAAGGAACTAAAAAAAAATATAAAACAACATTTGCTGGCCGTTGGATTCGATCCCACCTCAGGGTACAATTTTATCAGATCAGCTGCTCTGTTAATGCGGATTAACTCTGCCGTCTGTCTAGGCTATAAGTTACACCATGTGGCTGCTTAGCTAGTTGAATCGGCAAGCGAACACTATGGCTGTGTTGGCTGGCTTCAACGTTGCGTGGATATTGCGCGGGCAACAAAAGGACATTGACATTTTGTGGCACATACGCTGATGACGAGTGCTAAGAAGAAGAATAATAAGCATAGAGAGGACGTAGAAAAAAAACAACTGGAAAAGAATCCTATGGCATAATAAAGTAGCAAAACCGAAAAAATACATAGTAGATATATTTATATGCGACCGCATACTCCAGCAAAAGTGCTAAAAGTGCCATACTCGACTTTTTTTCCCATTCACGCAAAGCTCAACGCACACAAATAAATACCCAAGTATCAACGAGTTTGGTTGATTTTTTGTTTTTTTTTGTTGCTGCTACTGTTGTACACTGTCAAGTCGAATGAATGACTCATAGCGATTTCTGTGCCACAATGCGCCGACAACAGTGGAGTGGATGGCAAAGC